TGCAAATATAAATGTTTATACAATTTGTAATCTTAATGTGAAAACTTTCATATGATGTATGTAAGAGGTTAAAAAAGTAGTGAAATAGTAAATAAAAGAGGTAATGAAATAATGTTAATTTCATGTGTGAACACTAAGTTAACTTCAGAATCCTCAAATTCCATATTTTTTTATTAAGTATAACTATGAAATCAAAAAAAGTTTAAATGTAGTGTCACTTACACATCAAATAATTTCATTGTACAAACCAAGCGTATTTTTATTTTTTTGAGATTGTTATAAACGAGGCGTACACATTTGCCACTTATCGATTGAATCGTGAGATCGGTTAAGCGGACGCGTGTTAACTTTCTCTGCTTGAAGGGTCGCGGATTCGAATCTCCACCTCGCGTCCTTGCCCGCCTTAGGCATGATCGTTCCCTAGTGTGCTTTGGCATGATATCCCAACTATCAGGTATTCGTTTCACTCTCAATCCTCTTTCATACATTATTGACTTTTGATGTTTCATCGCTGGCCTGATGTCACTAAGCACTGGGGCAATGAGCTTAATTAAGCTGATTGAACTCGTACCAAGACTGAGCGTTCGATTCCTGAGGGAGGCATAGATGTTTCAGATGTGTTGTGACTTAGTGTGAATTTTCAGTACAGCGTGTTTTACGCATGAACTTGTCAATAACAAGACCCCAAAAGGAAAAAAATGGAGTGTATATTAGAAGCGAAATAACATTTATTTTACCAGAAATTAATTTGCTCAGCCTTTGAAGAACATTAAAAAACGTAAACGCAAATGTAGAGTATTGCATAGTGGTAATAGGTAAATGAAATTCAGGAATAGGGATAAGACGAAATAGATGACAAAACACAAGGAGAAAAGAATGCGAAGAACAGGAATGGAAGATGAAATGAAAAGAGAATGGGAAAAGAAGTGAAAAAGAGTTAGAGGCAAAAGAAAACGAAGGGAGGATGAAGATAAAAAGATAATGAAAAGCGAAAGATTACGGATAGAAGAAGAAACGTAAATAAGTAAATAAATGAAGAAGAAGAAGAAGAAGAAGAAGGAGTAGAAGAAGATTAAGAAGAAAAAGAAGAAAAAGAAGAAGAAGAAAAAGAAGATGAAGAAGAAAAAGAAAAAAGAAGAAGAAGAAAAAGAAGAAGAAAAAGAAGAAGGAAAAGGAGAAGATGAAGAATAAAAAGAAGAAGAAGAAAAAGAAGAAGAAAAAGAAGAAGAAAAAGGAGAAGATGAAGAAGAAAAAGAAGAAGAAGAAGCAAGGGAAGCAGGCGTTCACCTGAAGCCGTATCTGCGCATGAGCGCGTGCACGAGCGCCGGGTAGAGCGCGGCGCCCGCGGCCGCCAGCAGCTGCGCCGCCGCCACCGCCAGGGTGCGCCGCCGCCGGAAGTACGAGTTGAGGCTGGTGAAGGCGGCCGGCAGCAGCAGCCCCATCCCCACGCCTGCCACGTACACGCACACACACACACTTATCTTTGGGTATAACGTTTCAAATGTCTTTGCAATTAGAAATACATGTACTTAGTAAACACAAATGATGTAATTAACTACATAGATAGCAACTTAGACACAATTACAATGTTTGTTTTTCTGGTGGGATCAAATTAATTTTTTGACTTCACATTTTCGAATTAGCTCTAGGTGGCTCCACACATGCGGCAGTCGGCAGCCGCTCGCCGAATCCCGAGTAGTGTGGACGTGTTGCTTGGGATTTGCCGAGCGCCGAACATTCGGTATTCGTCCCACCCACCTCGTGTCGGTCTTTGGGACACAGAAAAGGGAGAGAATATTCGCCGAACACATCAGATGTTCTGGATTGGGCTCGCTGCTCGGCGAATGCCGAATGTGTGGAGCCACCTTAAGGTACTTATCACTGGCAAATGGAAAGAAAATTTAGTACGGAGTGCATCGATTTAATGATACAAACTACTACGATATGCATGTTGTTGAAATGATATTGGTTTACAAATGATCACATGGTGAAAACTTTCATACAGATATCAAACGAGACATTTGTTTTTGATTAAAATTCATTATGCACTGGTATTTGGAATGTCTGAATCTGACACCTTACTCACCCTTCAAGCTTCCACATGCCCCCAAAAGGCTGGGACATTTATTCTGAGACGCATGTATATACATTTGTAAATTTTAATCGTGATAAAACATTCCTACGAACATGTCGATACGAATCATGCCTAAACAATCTCGGGAGTCTCACAATCGTGTCCTGGGGCTCCCATGTCAGTCAACCATTTTCTAGATAGCAGGTTAACGGCTACTTGCGTATTTACTAAAGGTGACGGATTGGACGAGTACAAATGGTGTAAGGCACTTTCGAACATAAATATTTATTGAGCCTTCCTTTTCAGTCTGCGTACGCGATATATTTTGTTGCCCGTCTGTTGTAGTTCCTGACGGCAACAAAGGACCTCTACAAAGACTAAAACGATATAAAAGTATATCCAAACAAATTTCTAGTAAAATATGACATGAAATGAGTGTTTATCACACAGTATCATCACATATCTTCCGTCAGAGAGAAATACAAAGATGCAAAAAGTGCCCAATTATTTTAATCAGATTAATTAAATGCGGGCTTTGAGATTACTTGTTTTTTGAATTGTTTGTGAAACACAACAAGTACTCTTAAGATAAAAATAATTAGTTCTCGTGGATTAAATGTGAAAAATTTTTTTCCCGGAAGGATCTTTGCGTCGTTTTTTGACAAAGTTATAATTTGTGTATAGCTGTAGAATTCTTAATTTGCTCGCTATTTGAGATACATAACCTATGTAAATAACAAATTAAACGCATATAGACAATTTTGATATTTATTTGGGTCAAATAGGATGAGCTCAAATCTGCTGAATTTCTGATTCTAACTCGTTCCATTATAATCGTATAGTTAGAACTCTGTCTCCCAGAATATTCATGTAGGTCCTAAACGTTTCTGAGCTCCCTCTGCCTGCGATCGCAGATGAAACATCTTGGTAACAAAATGAGCGCCCACAGGTTGGGCGATCGGATAAATTCTTCTTAATCGTGACAAAAAAACATTTTCTTCTCTGCCTCCAAAGATAATTTAAACATTCTTCGAGCCAAATGTGCGGACAACACGATTGTTGTAATTATTGATAGATATTTCTTCGCATAATTTTGTTGTTTACATTCACAAGAGGGCTTTAAACAAAATTTTAAATATTAGTGTATTATCATAACTTTAAAGTAATATTTTTCGGCTATAAGAAAACTTCTAAAAATAAACCTTACATTATCTACAAGACATCGATCTTCGTATGAACTATTCGTATTCTCCATCCACTATTGCTAGCGGCATGCTGTTCTTATCTGACCCCTTTTCCGTGCTTCAGTTTTTATTAATAGGTTAACAATACTGGTACGACGGCTGTGAATGAGTGCTGACAACGTGTATTAGTATTCTACAATAGATATACAACGAAATCGATGACTACCGAAGGTTCCGTAAGAGTAAAATACAAACTCGAACGGGCAGACACAGAATTATCATTGATGAAAGCTTTCGTGCGTTGAAGCATTCTAAAATTGTTAAAATTTTATTAACAAACTAAAATACTTATACTTATTTTAATACATTAAAATGCACTAAATATCAAATGGGCAATCATACATTTCGACATATTGCACGATTTTGCACCTCCTTTCCGCGTTGTAATCCGTGTTCTGTGAAGTAATCAGAAGGGTTCCGAAAACGTAAGATAATGTCCAAAAATATTTTAATTTGTAGATTATTTCATAAGAAAAGTTACTCGGAACATTGGGGACCAGAAACGAATTTTCACGATTAAAACGCAGAATTTGTCTATGTACTAACAGGTTTTGCGCTGTAACGCGTCTTGCGAGTAGTAGAAGTGCCTTCTGAGTCCTCATAGAACAATCTGCAACGTTCTACATATTCATCTGCAATCCGTTTGAGGAACCCTTGTGAATAATTTCTTACAAATCATGATTACGAGGTGCGTTGACGGCGTGTTAAAATCAATAATGTGATTTTTCCTTCGTGTTCATTGTAGCTTGTAGAGAAAAATCAGGCAAGAACTATTCGTAAGCTAAAATATTTCTTAATACCTATAAACAATTACATTTTCTCGGTTTACGCGGTGTAAACTATTTTATTAACATGTGGGCACAACTTTTCTGACTGCTCTTTCATTTATTTTTATTTATCAATATCATAATCAAGATGACACGCTCTATAACAATCGCATGATTGTCACATTACATTTTGCTATCAAGCTTTGAATGATCATAATATTTAACACCAAGTCTGAATGAAACCAGTTTACAACCGAATTCATCAGGTTTTTATCTGAGTAAAGTAGATTTTTCTTGCATAGCACGAGGATGTTTTGCTTCGTGACAGCAAAATGATTCACAACCTTCATGTATGAAGCAGTAAATTTTAGTAAATTACTACTGTCTTGGTTTGTGAGAAGGTTTTCTTTCGCACATTGCAAATATTTCTCTTTTCTGCAGATTCTTTTTGTGGAAGTCTTACATGATACTGTTTATCTTCACGGTGGCGAGGATGTGTAATAATGCCTAACCAAGCAATCTAATGGAGAAATAGTAACACAGTGTGTTACAGATTGTGTTACTATGTACAATCTATGTACAGATTGTGTTGCAGATGTTCAGTCAGGGGTGATGTAGCATTGCAAGGTGTTATTTTCAATATTATTCAATGAGAAATGAACAAGTGAAAAATGCAAGAGTGCTCGATAACTAATGGACAATGTACTTGAAAATATAATGTTCTCCAGAAATGTGAACGACATGTTGTCTTTCTTCAATTAGTTGGAATAAAATGCTTTTATACAATCGATTTTTTAATATACGGCGGTTGAGCTACGGAAAGTAAGTTAACGGTGATTAATATTCGCAGGCTGTGCGATCCATCTACATAAGGCATGAATGTTTTCATCGGGTGAATGTGGCATGGCAGCCACTTCACAGTTCAAGCATCTCCTCCGTGACTCCCATTAACTCCTTCTCATCTAGTGACAAAGAAAATAGACAAGAGCTGACACAGGCGCATGGCTTACCTCAGCAAATAAAGAAACAGAAAACTCGCTTAGAAGGGTCTACAAGCCACGGGTATGACGTGACAGGGAGTTACGCTGAAGGATGTGATTAATATATAGTGTTTCCGGGATTACTCGCGTCGGGTAGAGAGGGATACGGGCTGGGGAAGTTAACGAAGGTGCGAAAATATACAGGACTGTTCAAAATAAATGTTATAAAGTTCTAGTGCATTTGGGGAGGTCTTAAAGAGTTTTTCTCAATGAACTAATGGTGCAGAATAAATTCCGTGGTGGTAGCAGATATCTTACCATATAATGGTGCAGAATTTCATTTCACCTCCGTGAACCACACATGCGATATTTCTGATGCCGCGCTTCTGATTGGAAAACAATTTATCCAGCACTTTGGCACTGCCCATTAAAAGCTTTGCACGGCATGTGGGAATGGGTTTCCCTGAGAAGTTTATACAACCAAGAAATTTTTCACTACGTTCTGTTGAGTGAGGAAGTCACATTTTTAATTACGACAAGTCAAACTCTATCAACAGCAAACTGTGGGTGTACGAGAATCCTTGCAGCACTTTTATTCGCAAATAACAGGCGTGATTCAGTGTTAACTTGGGCAAGGATGAATCAGTTAACTTGGCCGTACATTTTGCCGGCCCACCTAATCGTGCCTACGTACTTCACATTTGTGCAGGAAGAGCTACTCTTTGGAGGTTGTGCCACCTGTTACGTCGTCGCAAATCGTGACGGAACGACGCTTGAGCACACGGCGGTCGTAAGTTTGCCAAAAGTGATCTCATTATCCCATTACTTGGTATCTGAGTTCGGCATATTTGACACTTCTATATTTTCCGTGGATTGATATGATGTTCCGTGTATTTGAAATGTCAGTATCGAAGGAAGATCAGGTCGTCACAATTCCGGTTTTCAGCCTATTGCATACAGAATGTACCAAGCATTTTCAAGAGATTGCACCTGATGGTTTCATGTCACGCATTAAACTTTACGTAAAAGCAGAACAAATTTACAAACAAATCTCTTTTTTTTTTTATTGCCAGGAGGTCGTGCTGCGAGAGGCCTGCTAAGCACGAGAGGAAGATGTGTTGCCTGCCAATCAGGGGCAAAATATCAAAAATGTCGCGTGTGTTACTGCGTTAAATGAGATTTCGTACTACATGTAGTACTACATGACAATCAGAGACTTTTATATGGGCAAGTATTGTGCAGTGCGCAAGTGCCGAATAAGTTGTTTACCAATCAAAATGGCGGCATCAGTAATATCACGTGTGTGACTTCTTTAAATGAAATTCTCCACCATTAGTTCATTGACAAAAACTATCATCTCTTAAAGACCTCCTTAAATGCACTAGAACTTTATAACATTTATTCTGAACTATCAACTTCGATTAATTAATTGATTGATGTTTCCGGTTCAGGAAACATCAACTTTCAAGGTTATTAGTCACCTTGGTGCAGATAATGTTTTGTTCCGGAAGGTGGCGATGTTCCTCTCCCACTGAATGGTGGAATCCGACATCATTCCACACGACGTTATGAGATACTTTCTTCCTCCAGGTATCTCCCACCCGCAGGGCACCCCGTCAACCGTGAAAAGTTATAAGCTCTTGACTGGTCTCTGACTAGTTTCGTAGTGTAGTGCATGTAAGTGTGTAGGGGTAATAGGAGAAGACAAGGAAGAGAAAGCAATGATGTGCCGGCGATTCAGAGCTCGTTTGTTAGCGTACTCTTTGCCTGATGTTGATCGCAGAAACCTCGGAAAACTACCGATCAGAGCAGCTAACCGCTAAAGTTCTTCACCAGACAGCGGCTGAATTCTCCCTAATTAAGTAGCCAGTATTTATCAGCTCTCCTGTATGTTACCTAGAAGTTTGTAACATTTATCCGGAACCTTTTGGGTGTAACAGTGCAGTTTGGGTGTAACATCATGTAATTCACTTTCGGATCACAAAACCACTATTTAACCAAATTCATAATTACAAAAACTACACCTAGTAAGAGACTATCTAAAGAATAAAACACTATTTCCAATATTAAAATGTATTAGGAATGTGTACTAAAAATATCTCAACATCGTCCTCATTACAATAATAGACCTTGAAATTTACCGACAGCAACTGATATTGGGCAGAAAGGCTTTCAAAATGTGTTAATTACCGTGCCCTACCAGATCTATACTGACGGATCGTCTGTGAATATCAAACTAGTTGCCTCCAGGGTTACTTTCTTGACTTTGAATGGGGTGCATTTGAAATCTCTCGAGATTGTTATACCCGATGGTGTTTGCCATAGCACAATGTAAATGTTGCCATAATTACATTCAGTACAAATTCTGGATACTTGAACGGTTGATTCAATCGATGTTTCTGAAGTTTTATATTATTCACTGGAACAATTTTAAAATCCCCTAGCTTTCTCTCGAATTAAATTTCTTATACTACTCCATATTTTGGCGTCTAAATTATTTTTAATGCATTAATTGTCCATTAATTTCGCATTTAAAAAAAATAACTTCAAGAGGTTCTTTCATTTTGTTTGAAATTACTTTCAAAAATATTTCCTATTCCATGATTGCATAGCAATACAGTCTGTGCAGGTTACCGACCAAAAATGAATACAAAAGTCCTTAAAATGTAATTTTGTAATTATACAAGTTGTGCCTTCATTTTGGAATTATACAGAACGGAACTTACGTGGCCGACTTTTTCCGGTATCATTTTGAGCATTAATAAGAAATAAAATACGAGATGTAATTTATTTAAGAGAATATGATTTTTTAACTGCTTAAGCAAACATTTAAATTGTATTAAAGTGCACATTTCTATATATTATTCACTAATTTTGAATTTGTTTTTCTTCAACAACAATTTACCTAAACATATATTTAGGAACGAAGATGAGAAAAGGTATGTAGAAAAGCCATGCGAGCCACTCATTAATTTGCCCCAACTGCAGAGCCTCCAGAAGAATGTGCAACCAGAACATACTTATGTCATTTCCAAGCGTTCTCATTTTTCGCGTGGTTGGCCCGGGCGTTCCAATTCCTTTGAAAGGAGCCCGAGGCGGGCGCATTCAGAGGCGAGAGCAGGGGGCGGGGGACGCGGAGCAAGCGCGAGGCGGGTTCGGAGCTCGGAGGAAGACGGATGGTGAATTATGGGTAGAGACAGGCAACTAAGCGGGACCCAAAAGCGGGAGAGACAAAAAAACTGGTGTGGGTTCTGAGGCGACGACGATGTGTGACATTTGCGCTCGGAGGTACAAAGGTTGGAGGGGAAAGTGGAAGGAATACCGGAAAGGGGATTGAAAAAGGACGAGAGCATTGAGGAAGGAAGAGGAGATGGAGCGGATGCGGAAGAAAACTTGACGTGGAAGCGATAATGGAGATATATCGGAGATGCGACGAGTAGCTTTACCGAAGCCGCGAGTCTGGGAGCGGAGGTGCAGATACACCGGAACTAAGGTGGTGCCGGGATGATAAAAGGCTGTGAATAGAGGCATCGGAAAGAGGATGGGTGCAGGGTATGGGCGAACGCAAAAATTTAAATCGGAAGCGCCTGCTAGGACGGAGAAGGGAGGCGGCAGAGAAAGGGGAGAGGGAGGAATAGAAGGGGAAGGGGGAGGTGAGGAGGATGACAATTGTGGAGATTAAAAGGGTGGGGCGGTGTGGGTTTAGTACGTAGAGAATCGTGGGCGGGATGGGGAAGGACAGCCTGTGGAGGGTGCTTTCTGGGAGCGCGGTGCGCGGGGCAGTGGAGGGGGGCGGGCAGTGAGTGGGAGGTCAAAGCTAGAGATGGCGGCGCGAAGGGTGGCCCGATGGAGGCCGCGGGGGCAGGACGGGCAATGGAGACGAGCAGAGGCTGAGACCGGAGTGCGGAGGGGTCGGCGACAGGCGGTGGCTGTGAAGGGAAGGCGCGATGCGCGGAGCGCGGCAGTGGGAGGGGCCGTTGGGCGCCCGTGTAGGACGCCGCGGGTGGCGGCGAGCGCCCGCAGCTGTCTGCGAGCGCCTCCGGCAGAGGCGCCACCGTCGCGGCGGCAGCCCAGGCAGGTGCACCGGCGCCGCGTGTGTCTTTTGTGCGCGCTATCTCCTTATTCTGCGCGCGGTGACAGCCGCCATCCGGGCGACAGGCGCGCGCGCGCACGCAACCCTCCCCCCCCGCCGCTTCCTCTGCGCCAGCGCCCGCGTTCCCGATAGGCTCCTGCGTGCTGGGGCTTCCGCAGCCTTGTTCCGTATTACAAGCGCGTAATGCGGTGGGGGGAGGAGCGGAATCGGCGAAGCCATTGCGGAATGAAAACGCTGACGAGACCTCGTTTTCCGCTGCGGAATGGGATCCTTTACAGAGGCAGACCGTCGCGAAGAATGATGGCATATTTTGATCACAACGGCGCCCAGTTCGCATATCTTGAGTATTCAGCGGTGGTTGAAACCAATAAAAATGGAGTATGCGAGATCATGTTTGAGATAGAAACGCATTTTCTCTGTAAAGGTAAAGAAGATAAAAGAAAATTGCCTTTGTTAATAAAGAAGTAAATTATTGAAAATGTTGCAGAATTTTCTAATAAAACGTCCAAAATACATCGACTTCTTTAACTTGTGGACATTTAGGCAACTGAGATTCAAATTAACAGGTCCCAATGAAATACCAGCATATCGCTCGAAGCATTTACACCTATACAAATGACTGATGTATTCCAATGAATTTACCCTATCTTTTACCCTGCTCTCTGAGTTACAGTAATTGAATGGGCACACACAGAGGATGAGTAATAATAAATACTGTTTCGGAGATGTGTGTCAAAGAGAGCTAGAAAGCACGAGGTGCCGGCGTTACTGTACTATTCTCGCTTTAAACGATCGTGTTGATTAAACTCGTCTCTTCATGCTTTGCGCTTAAGGAAGTTGATTATCTCCTCGCTTAAGTTAGAAAACCCAGGCGAGTTTAATTTGTTTTTGTTGTTGCGTAGGAATTATTTAATTGTCTCGTTAGAAGAAGCAAGTGTAACTCTCGGGGCAAAACAAAGGTAGCAGGTGCGGTCTTGGCGCAGCGCCAGCGCCAGGTTTTGCTCGCGGGGAGGCGCGGAGGCGCGGCGCGGCGCTGTAGTCGCTCACCCTGCAGGACGCTGTAAGCGACGACGAGGAAGGCGACCGAGTCGCAGAGGGCGGCGGCGCCGCAGCCGATGGCGCACATGATGGCGCCCGCCGCGCACACTTGGCGGCACGAGAACAGGCGCAGCAGCCGGCGCGCCAGCACGCCTACGCACGCAGCGCCCGCGCAGCGTTAGCCTCGCCCAAGGGGGCGGTTTTTTTTCTTCTTGAGAAAAGAAGTGGATCGGGGCAGGGTAGACTTTTGAAAATTATTAATTTGTATTTAGGTAATACAAGGAGGAGGTGCGGTGTTTATTTTTTCTTTTTATTTCTTTTTTTTCGTGAAAAGAAGTGGATTGGAGCAGGGTAGACTTTTGAAAATTATTAACTTGTATTACCTAATTGTATAACCACCGCTCTCGACCAGCGGGAGGAGGTGCAGTGTTTATTTTTTTTCTTTTTATTTCTTTTTTTTTCGTGAAAAAAAGTGGATTGGAGCAGAGTAGACTTTTGAAAATTATTAATTTGTATTGCCCAAGGGGGCTCTCGACCAGTGGGAGGAGGTGCGGGGTTTATTTTTTTTCTTTTTATTTCTTTTTTTTTTTTTTTTGGGAAAAGAAGTGGATTGGGGCAGGGTAGACTTTTGAAAATTATTGATTTGTATTGCCCAAGGGGGCTTTCGACCAGTGGGAGGAGGTACGGGGTTTATTTTTTTCTCTTTCTTTCTTTTCGAGAAAAGAAGTGGATCGGGGCAGGGTAGACTTTTGAAAATTATTAATTTGTATTGCACAAGGGGGCTCTCGACGAGCGGGAGGAGGTAGGTTATCGGGGCAGGGTAGGATTTTGAAAATTATTAATTTGTATTATGTGCAATGCCACTTTATTTATTTCTTCTGAATAAAAATACTCGTATATATTGAAAATTCGACGTACGATTAAACGTAATTCGGACATGGAAGCTAGGAGACCCCAGTTCGAGTCCCTGTCGCGGTGATCATTCTTCGAACAAATTTAATTATTAGAAAATATTATTTAATTTTTGGAGTAAGTAATTACTTAATAAGTAAGTATTTCAAAGGGGAAGTGAATCCCCTTGACCACCCCCCGGGTAGAGCCTCGTGAGAGCGATATCCCACGCCTAGCTTGAAAGAGAAATACAACAATTGTTTTTGAATTCGTACTATTTATGGGATTTTCTGATCAATGCTGCTTGACGTAAACACACGAAATTAATTATAAACATATTCCTTGATTTGACAATTTTACATGAACTACATTTACGGTGCCTATAAAGCCAATTTCAGCATTAGAACCAACAAATGTAAATTCGTTAATTATCCCATTTTTGTTTTTGAAAATTAACTTTACGTCTACACGTATGTTTTAGTAGCTTGCTTAATGCACGAGACAATTCAGTCCTTTGTGCGTTCGCAACATCATCGCAAGAAGTGTCGGCGCTTCTTACTGCTGGCGATTGTTTCAAATTACAATCCAACTTACTCGTCCACGTTTACTTAATGGAAACACTCTCGAGTTCCGGCATTCACGCTAATTGCAATCCGTGGAGCCACAGAATTTTATCAACTATTCCACCAGTTTGAATCTTCCGGTGCTCTCAATCTCCGAGAGAGTATAAATGGGAGTGAGCCATTTAAGTTCTGGAATGCCGAAAATTAAAAGCAGTGAAAGAGCTCTTACACGACATGGGAGAAGTTATTTTGATTGCTTTTCAATGCATGAGGAAGTCATTTTTTTGACATCTATGTTGTCATCAGGTAAGCAAACTCAACTTCAGGTAAATGTGATAATTGTCAAGCACTGATAATTGCTTCTCTCTGGAACGAATAACGAAGGTATGTACACTACTTTTCTCATAGCTTCCTGGTTTCATAACACAAAAAGTGAAATTTAAATACTAGTGGGAATGAAACACATTGAATAAAATTTATTCTGTAAAGGCATTATTTATTCAATTTATAGGTAATGTTTAAAAAAATCCAATTAGCTATTTTATGTTACTAAAAGTTAAGGTTTGGGTGCCTAAAAGTCTTGTTTTTACAACGATTTGATTACGACTGTGAATATGCCAAGAACCATAAGCATATGAGTTGAAGCGTACTCGGCAGCACTATATACGCACCATTTAGTACACGGTAACCACGATTAACGTCAATAGACTAAATTCTCTGCCAAAATATTGAAATAAACTTTCAATATTTATGTCCAATTTGCTGACAAAAAATATATTAAATATAAAATACGTACTGCATGTAATTTAAAGTAAAATAAATGCATTGCATTACTTCATATTAAATGTGATTATTTTGAGATTCTTCAGTAATAAAGAACAAGAGCACACTAATCTATTCTCAATGAAAGGGTGTCTAATATTTCAAGAGTAACAATTTGAGGGCTTTTTTTAACAATTTTATACGGCAGTTTGATGGAATTTGTGAGGGATAATTTGTCTAAGAAAGAAATGTTTCAAATTTCTTTCTCAGACAAATTAGAAAAACAAGATGGAACAACAGCCGCGAGAACATACTAATTGATGAGTTGTTTTCTAATAATATTCTGATGATTTTTATTTTGTTCAATGTTCAATAATTAGATAAATATTCTTTTAATTTAGAAAGAGCGTAGGTATAAATATTTTTATTACCTATGGTATTTTTGATTACGTAACAAATACCATCGGATCTTATCCGAAGTTGTATTAAAGAAATCAAAAAAAGACAAATGGAAATATGAAATTGATTGAAATTGAATGTAGAAAATTAAATTGAACGTATGTGACACTGAATATATACAAATTAGAATCACTAATTGAAAATATGTACAATTTAATTACAAAATATAATATTAAATACTATACCAGATGCCTAAGCAACGGGTCCTTTATACCTTACAGGTTCTGGTCGAAAAACAAAATTATACGGTTTATCGGAAGTGCAAGTCATTTAAAAACAGAGCGATGGTCATAAGGGGAGGGCGAAGGGTCAAGTAAGGTTAGATATATGATGACTTAGGGTCTCCGGGTGGAGCTAGGGGTGTACTTTTTGAGCTATTTTTAGTAGGGGTGAGGAGAGTTCATGGATGATTAAAGCAAATTGTTTACTCGTTACGTATGTTGTTATGTATGCGAATGGTAATTCATATATTTATTACTATTTTTATTCCTATAATATATTTTCAGATTAGGTCTGATAAGTTCTACATGATCGAAAAGATCTTAGGCAATAAGCATAATGATACCTTGATAACATCTTTTTTTCTACATTTATTGCAAGGTATCAACCGTACTATCTGTTTCAGTAAGTAAAGATCAGATATTGCTTCGAAAATTGTTTTAAAAATCAAATGACGAAAAAGCGGACTTTGAAGCAAAAGTTCTCCAATCGCAGAGCAACGAGCGTGCGCACTCACCGGGCATGAAGGACAGCGCGAAGTAGAGGCCGCTGAGGAAGGTGAAGTCGCTGGTCTCGGCGCCGACGTCCCGCAGCCACTTGTCGAAGATGAGGCCGAAGCAACTCACTGGCCCCGTCGTCACCGCCTGCCACACACAATGCGTTCAGCTCTCTCTGCAAGTGGCGCCATTGGCAAGGGTGATTTATTTATTGAACTCAAAGATTTTACCCTAGTATAATATTTCATTTAAATTAAGGCACGATTTAAAAAAATATAGGTTTTAGAGAAAAATATAAAATTATTAACAAATTAATGTCTGTCAGGCCAAACATTACAGAACATTGTTTTAAACCTTTCATTATACTTACATAAATATTAAGTAATTAATATTGATGTATTCAGTTGTGATAAAGAAATCTATATAAATTGTAGTAGGATTCCAGTTAGTACAATGTATAGGATTTCCTTGTGTGAGTGTTGTAATTACAATTACTTGATGCTGTAATCTCTTGTAATTATCGTTGAGAGATTTACTGATAATTGAAAAAAATGATAAATATCTAATTGTTAAAAATATGTGACATTAATATTTTGGTAAATATAATTATTGTTTTTTTAAATGTAATGTTTGACCTATACGACTAGAACAATATAGAAAATGATAACCTACACAATTTCAGCCTCATGTTACATGTATTTCTTAGTGACAATAATTTATTTAACTGCTTTTTTATAATGACATTATAAACGATACCATCGTCAAGGTACCATCTTCATCATCACAGTATTTTCAAGTATGTAAATATTCATGGCAAATGGATGTCAGTGGGTCGTCATTGAATTGCACTCATTACTTAACAGTAAGGTTCACATCGTTATGTCTTCTATGGATTTTTCATTCGGTGCGCAAAGGTACAAGTTGCGGCGAATGATACGTCACTGATAACAGCGTTATCAGTATTAGGTTTTGTTGAAAGAACATACACCTCGTTGTGGGTAAACTCGCAAAAGGGAAAACAAAACGCCAAATCAAGAAGAGAAATTGTCAGATCATAACAATGTGTTTCTACCGAATACTATTTAAGAATAGTTAAAAAATCTAGAGTATAAAATAATTACATAATGGTATCAATACCAGATTAGAAAATGTAATTAAAAAATTGCTGCACAAAATTACATTTAAAGTAATAATTTCAAAATATAATTTTAAGATCTTCGGTTTAATTAATAAATTAAATATTTTCAGTTTATCAGATTAAATTGATATCTATCATATGTAAGATTGACGCAATGCTAAATAATGCTACCAAAGTAGGCAGAGTTTTAAATTAAAACCATATGTAGGCTATAACATAAAATGTGTACAGTAGTAAACTGGGGTTGAGCTACCTGAGTTCAGTTTTTAATATTTTTATACTGCATGAAATCCATGTACATATTTTGTGCTCATTCACTGACTTTCTTTTAGCCTAGCTATTTACTCCAGACACATTTTTTCAACGGCATTTTATATTTATTTTGATTCCTTTCTACATTCATCAATGGTTATACAAAAATACGAGATATGCTAATATATTGTGTAGTTAAGGTGGTTGTTATATGTGTAATATGGACGTCAAAAATTATTTGAATTTCCTTTAGTTAAAACTATTATTAAATCTATCAATTCGTTTATGGATCATCATGCGCGAATATGATTTGCGCCTACATTTTGTGTTGAGGATATTTAATTTTTTCTTAACAATCATTGGAGGCACAAAATAACGAGATGGAATTTCTGCAAACTCTCAAATATCAAATTATTAATATGATACTACTATTAAAACAGCAAAGCACGTTTGCAAGTGAAATCATCTGATTTCTGACGCAAAGATCCACAACAAACGTGAACCCGACGTAGCCTAGTTTCCTCGCCACATTTCCCGGTTTGACCCGAGCGCAGACGCGCGTGAACTCACGAAGGTGATGCCGACGCCCACCACGACGACCCATCCCCAGCCTCCGTCGGGCGCGCCCATCTCGACGGCGGCGACGGCGCCGAGAACGCAGAGCGACTGGCGGGCGTGCCGCGTCCCCGCGCCGCGCCATACACACACGCTCACGCGCGCCCACGCACGCACCCGCGCACGCGATCCGCGCGCCAGACGCGCTCGCGCTCGGGTCGCAACCTGCGCGACGCGACGCCGCAGGCGACGACCCTTCGCGTGACGCAACGGCCCACGTAATGCGTTTCCAGGGCGCGGAGCCCGCCGCTGCGGAGGCGCTGCTCGCTGCTGGAGACGACGCGACTCCGCACCGCTCGGCACAAAGTGCTCGTATTTACTGCGACCGAGCGCGTTAGCTGGTGTCATCATTAATTGCGTTAGTGCAATGCATGTTATATCCAGGGATGATGCCGGGTCTGCCCTGCGTGAAGATGAAATCCGGGGCCAACCAATTGTGACATGGGTTTTCTCCCTCCATGTGTCTCCCCTAGAGAGATATCCCCCTCACTGTATGTTCCCTCGCGGGGTTCCTGCCCCGCTTGAAGATGAGATCTGGAGACCTTCAGCGGCTTACGGGTTTTCTACCTCCATGTATCTCCCTCAGCGGGGCATTCCCCAATTCTAAAGTCTCGGTTGGTCTGCTCACGAGTGTGATAATTTTCCCCACATTCACATGCAGACGTGTAAGGAGAGAACAGGAATGATGAAAGAGAGATCGCGCGCCGTTCTTGGCCCATTTGTTAGGATACTGGTCCTGCATTTATCTGATACTTATTCGTGAAACCACGAAAAACTACGGGTCAGAGCTGGAGGTACCTAGAGTTCTGCATCAGACAGTGGTTGAATTCGATCCTGTTGTGTTCTAGATGGACAATTTGCCAGTATCGGGACTCAAACCTTCAGACCTCCAGGTCAACAACGCTGCAGAGAGTATGGTGCTACAGAAATATTGCAATCGAAAGATTTGATGTTCGAACCACAGAAGGATAATTTTCAAATTTAGCAATGTACTAGTCTTGGTTCGTTTTTATTGTTGCGTCTAATGCCCAGGGTTTTCAAAGTTGACCATTGGTAAACCCCTGACATGATAGTATTGTTAGGAGTTTTCTAATTTGCCACCAAATGGGATATCAACGCTGCCAGCGGATTTTTTCTCCCGTATTTGCCAGTAGGGACAGATCTCAGTCAAACTTATTCGTTATTTGCGTCGTCTCTGGATGAGTGAATATATGCTCTTAATTATTTGGGTCGAAGGGTCCGCCCATATTTGTTGCTTATCGAAGGTTATTGTACAAATGTAATGAGGTATTCTGACGTTTTTCGTCTTTAATTTTCGCCCTTTCGCTCCCATCCGCACTTCAATCTGCGATCTCACGTTTTCGAACAAGGTGTGCACATCTCCTTAGTAATGATCGTAGGTCGGGAAATAAGAATTCTATCACAGTATATGATTTGTTTGTTTCTAGAGATATAAGATATGCATGTAACCGTTTAATGATTAACGATTGTGTGTTCAAATCACGAAAAAGAAGATTTCAAAACTAATAAGTAAAACATTGTAAATGAAATATCTTCTCTGATATTACCAAACAGCGGAAATGCTGATAGCTCGTCTTTAGAAATTAAATCCGCAATAATTACTCGAATTATCAATAAAAATATCTCTACGTCTACAGTTTCACGATCAGCACTACTAATACAGAGATTATTGCAAACTTAAGCTGATTTATTGCTCGTGTAATGAAGATTTAGGGAAAACATGAATCCTTAGTTCTGTAGCAGCAATGAGACGATTCTAGATAGACCATATTTGATTTTTTAGTTTAATGATAGTTTATTAAATAGCATGCCGCCAGATTTCTGAAACTTCGAAAAACCTGTTTTTGCGTGTTTTATCGCTGCGCTCTTAGAGAATAGATCTGGAATTAAACCAACGTCACCTAAACAAACCTATGTAGATGCCGTTGATTAAATCTCAGCACCCAGAGGCAATATTTCGCTCCATGATGCCATCACTGTCTTTCACGATGATGGCCACACTGATTGCTGCCATCTATAAGTATAACAAGTGAATCTCGCGACAGAACAGACAATTAGTGACGCTGCTTTGAAGGTACTCCATAAGGGAATTCAAGAAGATGTAAAGATTTTCATTCATATTACCGTATTTATAAAAGAAAATTTAGAAAAATCTACGAAGTGCATTACTTCGGAAACTGGTAAAAAGAATATTTTGATAGATTCCCACTAAAACAAATCTTGTTCTGTATCAATAGCGCGGTCCACCTGTCGCGCCCCCCCCCCGTAAAGTGACATCCGCCCACCTGCAAAGGGAATGTGCCTCCGAGACAGTTTTATGCTCCCGAAAGCAAATACGACGTAGGTACGACGCCTTCAAGGCCGTGCAGCAACGAGGAGCTTTCTGTGACGACACAACGCAGGTAGACGTCTGCTGGCTTCCAGCTTGCAAATAACCTGTTGTGAATTCGTGAGAAACACAGCATCTCTGATCTTTTAACTCAGAATTGTTTCCTTTTTTTAAATTATTTATTATTAATTATTTTCCTTTTTAGAGACCACGTCGCTTTAGTCTTGATTTCTTATTCTAGTACATGATTCTCAGAGGCGAGCGAAAACTGTATACGTTGTAAACGAATATTTGTAATTAGCGTCACGTTAAGCTCGTACGTTGTGTTCGAGTATTATCTTGAAAATTAGTAAATCAATAGTCAAGTATTTATGAAAACATGTAACAAAGGTTTTTATTTTTAAACGCGATTAAAGGGCGCCTTTAATCACTCTTTTTTTCCTATGTTAAAATGTGTCTTTATTCCTCCCGGGATTAACGTAGCATTTTAATACCTTCGGAAGTAAAGTAACCACAGAGCGGGATTAAAGTAGCTGCACCTGCCAGCGACTCCCATTATCATTGCAATATGACAAATAAAGAAGGTTTCGAATACATATTGGTCTTTTCCACGTCTCTTCAAAGGTTAAATCAATTTACAATATCTAAAAATATCAATATCAGTTAAAGTGTTAAACACGTTCCATCAGTAATTTTACCTAGAGGAATACGTATGTTCATACCTAGAGATATCAACACTTTCCTTGGCACATAACTTGCTCTCACCATTGAATAATATCTCCGGAACGATGAAGACTTGTATTTTTTAATTTATTGATAAAATACGCAAGTACAATTTCTTCTGAAACTTTTCCTGTCATTTCTCCATTTGCAGCAACATTTGTACTCTTTTTGAAGACATGTCTCGATTTTTCAGGGAATAATTTTGAAACATCACATTCTGCTTTTTCATGAAATCTTTAGGAATTTGAGGATCTTGATCTTCAAAGTCATATGTATCGTTTGTCTGATTCAAAAATTCCTCCGTTTTTGCATGCTGAATGCAAATTAGCTGAACTCACAGCCACCTAAAGGTGACCCACAGAAGGATGCCCGCCGCACACTGTACTGCATCGTTCTTCGAAGCATACGTGTACACGCGAAGAAATACCCATTTAATTAAGTAACTAAAAGGGATGTAAGCATAATTAGTCTACTTAAGTTTGAATTAATCAAATGCTTTATTTACGTTGTACATTTTTCTTAAATTTTTATGTCCTGTTTTTCATAGTAAAAAATTAGTCACCTTAATAAATTGCGTACGTTCTGTAACATAACTTCTGATTTTAACATACGCCTTCAGTTATTTTCAATATTTAGCGCATTTTGGAACTTTGTTGGGCATAATTTCACTCGTGGAATAGTCCTAATAAATACGACTCGTGCTTTGGAAATTCTCAGGTAAATCCTCACCTCAATTTGCGAGTCGGGAATTCATCGACAATTTCCAAAACACTTGTGGTATTACCCATGATAATTTGATCAGAAACAAGTATTTGAAAATTCTCTACACGAACTTCAACCACTCTCTGAATCTTTATTTTCAGTGTTCTTTACTTCAACCGTCATTGGTAGATTTCGATACCAACTGTGAAAATACTATGATGTAACGTAGGCTTCTTCAGCGGACTGAATGGTAGATGACAGTGAGAAAATTACTATGTTCCATTTTACGGAACCTTTTTTCCACGCAGTGAGAGAGGGGGAGAGAGAGGGAGAGAGAGGGAGAGAGGGAGAGAGGGAGAGAGAGGGAGAGAGAGAAGGAGAGGGAGAGGGAGAGGAAGATAGGGAGAGGGAGAGAGAGGGAGAGAAGGAGAGGGAGAGGGAGAGGGAGAGGAAGATAGGGAGAGGGAGAGAGGGAGAGAGGGAGAGGGAGAGAGGAAGAGGGAGCGAGGGAGAGGGAGAGATGGAGAGAGGGAGAGGGAGACTTATACTCATCTGAGTAATTGTTTTGGAGAATATTATGCCCGGATGTGCTTTACAGAACTCAAAACTTTTAACGAATATGTGAATGAATGCATTTTACTATGTATTTTGGTGATATGGTTCCTCAAAAACCATGCCTTACGAAATGAAATTGTAATTTTTCGGTTCGTATTTGATGTATGCTAAGAGATTATGATGCTGTTAATAAGCTCTCTGACAATATTTGTGGCTCTACTTTTCTTAATATCTTTGGACATGTTTTAAATCCACGAAATCATTGTCTTCAATTAATGAATCTGTTATAGTGATTTGCTCTTGAGATCGTTTGAGCGAGCAATTCGCCAAAAGCCATTAGCTATCTAATCCTGCATTGTATTAACACGAACAAAATTGTTTCCTTTTTCAATCGCTCTGTGGATAGAAACCACTTCCAGGTACGAGTGGACACTTTTCTTTCAATTTATGTTATATCACCTTAATATCTGTATGCTGAACTAAATACAATAGAAGTGCAGCAATATGTTGATATCAGTTCTAATCGCACGTATCGGAAAACAGAGAAACCTCAGTTACCTTCTCTGGAAGATTTGTCAGGAATTTAAGAAAACATGAGCCAATTTCAAAGCTACCTCTTTTTCCATTTATTCAATCCATGCAAAGGAATAATAAGTATTTGGCGGGGCTGATTTTTTAATTGTCA